TTGAAAAACTCACTCGTGCAAATTAATTCCAAATTGAACTCGAAACCGTATGATTACCTATACTAATAGCCAAAGAAAAATCGTGTTGTATGAAGAAATGTTACTTTGAAATAGACTTTTGATTAAGTCCCTCAAAGAACAACAAAACACGCTCACCAATAACGCGTCCACTTAATTTGTCCAATTATTGCACACTCGATATTCAGTTTGGTATAGTATAACTGAATATTTCTTGATTCGATTTTAGAGATTTTTACAGGCCACATTAATATATATATTTTTTCATAAAGCATTTGCTCAATTTTATGCGGCATTAAATGTGATTTAGATTTCAATCAAATGTGCGCAGTCTTGTCCTCGACCACAAGAAGCTGATCGATAACAAAAAAAAAAACTGTGGCAAGTGTGATTATTTCATAATCAAATTACTGGCAAGCAGGCCCTTGCAATCCTCTTATTACCTAGTTCTTATTAACCGAGCAGGAGGCCCGTATTGGAGAAGCTTGATCGAGGTCGCGAGTACAGACCTAGGTCTGTGCACACGACCAAGGTCAAGATTCTCCCATACAGACCGACTAAGCTCGGTTAATAAGATGTTTGTTACACAGCAAACAAGAAAAAATTAATTCGTTTAATGTAAATTCGTTTGTACTAGCTGAAATTTTGCTTGCAAACGGCTGCGATGAGCTGAACTTAAATCCTCCAAAGTTTGCTCCTACTCTTTATTCTTTTCTCATGAGGCTTTTTGGCACTTCCACGGAACTAATATTTTTAGAAGGAAATAGTCAATATTTGTATTTAAGTTTGCAACTTTTCACCGCAAGGTGTAGACTGTTCTTTAGCTCGCGGTTCTTGGGAGACACAGCCATATGATAAATGCTACATGTGTAGGTCTAGTAATGATGTGAAGTGAGCTAACACGTGCTGCCTCTGAAACTGTTTAGGAAATATTATAGATTGTACACACGCTCTCGATAGTCTATAGTGTGTGATTATATGAGAGTACAATTTATGTAGACACTTTTTAATTCCGTATTTACATCTAAACACGAGGAGGGTTGGAAAATTCGTGACAGTTATGCAACCCCTCGACGTATGGCGTATGGCTAATCTGACAGTAAACTGGTGGTCCGCGTCTTTTAAATTAGACTTTTGAGCTCATTTGACTACATTCGAGCATACAGGTTTTGAGTTTGAAAAAGTTGCCAGGTTTATTGACACACATTTATCAGAGTAGACAGTCCCTGTACAATTTTAGAACCAAAATATTTGTATTTTTGTCAAATAATGAATTTGGTGATAATTCAGAGGGCCGGGACGTTGATCAGAAGCTACTGGAAAACAATGTTTCAGTTTGGTTATATAAAGTTGCCGCACTTTTCTAAAACAACTCGCTGAATTCGGAATGATTAACATCAGAGGCAGGCTTGATCGTTAACCATTCTACGGCCATATTTGACATCATGTAAAAGCCGTAGTGTATATTAAAGGGAAGGACATCTAACAAATCTGACTCAACTAAAAATAGGTTATACAATGTTAAACAAAATATAAGAATTCATGGTGGTCGCAAGAAGTGTCTTTTATGCCCATTCAATTTTGCCCGATATTTCGCTTGTTTTATTTTCTCGAGAGCTCAAAATCATAGAGTAGTGATATCTCGCAGAAAAGCAAACGCCTACCAGGGAACGCAGACAGTATACTAACGGTTTCCACTTGACATAAACCGATAGCGTAGTCGCAATAGCATCACCGGACAACGAACAAGTTGAGATTTCATTGTTTAGTACCGCTGGATTTGAAAATGTTGGAATCTATTGTTTCATTTCTGCCATCTGTTTGGTTTTTATTGTTTGGGTGGCCCTGGTTTCAGTAATTAAACGCACTGACGGACAACCGAATAACACTCACACTTGCATTTTCCTTTGATGTCGGTTTAAACCAGGTTCCACTGAGCTGTTATGCTGTGAAAACATGAAGGTAAAGGGCCGAACTTGATGTAATCAGGCAGCTA